ATGGAGTGATGTTGGCAGTGGGGATGGTGGTGGAGATGGAGTGATGTTGGCAGTGGGGATGGTGGTGGAGATGGAGTGATGTCGGAGTGGGCATGGGAATATTGGTGGCAATCATGGGAATGTTGATGGTGGTTGCAGGATCAGTGATGGCGATGGAGGTGATGGTGGTGATGGGAGTAACATTCTGGTGCTGGTGGGGGCCATGGTGACAGTGGTGTTGGGGTAATAGCGGGGAGGGCTCCCTGTGCAGGGAACCTCATGGGGCCGTCCACCAGGCAGCCTTGTCCCACACGTGGCCTCTGCCCTCACTGGAGACAGGTTCAGTGGGGTTTGCTTTATTCTTTTTTTTGTTTTAACCTCCAGTGAGCACAGCCTTCTGGGTAATGAGATGCAAATTGACAGAAAAGACAATGAGCCAGCCTGCGGCCGGTGGGGCAGCTCTTAGAGTCAGGCTGATTGCCTCTGTGCGATTTGCATGGCATTAGCTGGGCACGTCTCTGCCAGCAGCTTGTGCGTCTCATCAGAGGTCACCTGGATGGTCGCTTTCAACCAGAGATGGTGACCCGTGATCCAGACCGGGCCCGGGCAGGGCCACACTGCCCTGCCCTGGACGGGGCTCCCGGGAGGGGCCCCAAGGAGTCTGCGCCTATGGGAAGGCCCATGGGTGGGCTGAGGGGTGGGGACTTGAGTCAGCCAGGGCTACAGACAGGCCGCCTCAGGGTCCCTGCTTGGCAGGCCCAGGAGGTCTGCGGAGCCAGCACGAAGCTGCCACCCGAGCATGTGTTGCAAAGGTGGCAGACTGGTCTCAGGCGGAAGGAAGGCCTGGCCCTGGCCTGGGAGGCCTCAGCACAGGCCCAGGCTCTGCCCTAACTGGCACCGTCACCCGGGTGGTCCCTCCAGGTCTCGGCTCCCCCACTGTGCAGCGGGGCCCCAGCCTCATTGAGTCCACGGCCTTCAAGCCAGGCCCTGCCGGCGGTGCAGTCCATAAGTGGCCGGGGCCAGTGCTCCATGTCAGGGTCACACGTTGCATCCCCTGAGCAGGCCAGCCTGGCCACTGTCACCATCTCCCAAGGCTTCCCCTGGAGCCCTGCCTGCAGTGGGACCCTGAGGGGCCTGGGCAGTGCAGAGCCCAGGTGGATGCCCAGACAGAGCCTCCCGCTCTGTCCATGGTGCTGAAAGCCTGGGCCCAGCCTGCCCTGGGTCCCTGCTGCCAGTGCTCCCTGACCCCTGCACCCCTGTCACCCACATAAAGACCCCGCTCCCCCCCCCCCAGGACAGAAGGCAGTGGGGCCGGGGGCTCTTCCTTCTGCCCTCCGCCCAGTGGGCCAGTCCCCCATCGAGCACATCGCAGTGTCCCACTCCCTCCCCCCAGGTTGGGCCTAATCAGAGCTAATCAGAAAATTATGAGCTGCCTGATTACTGATTAGGTTCCTGATGTTAACAGAGGCGAGCAGGACCCGTGCAGGCAGTGTTTTAGGGAAAAGTATAAAAATAACATCACGGGAAGGGGCATGGCGGCTGGAGGGGCTCTGCCGTCCTCGCAGATGGGGGCTCGGCTCTGCTTCCCGCGGACGTTCATCTCCTGGCGGAGGGGCTCCTCGCAGCGCGTGTTCTCCCGGGCAGCTCTCACCAGGGCGGCTCCAGCAGCCCCAGCTCAGGGCAGTGGGACCGAACTGCCGTAGGAGCCACGCGGTGTAAACAAGAGCTCGCTGCCCGGCCAGCGTGGCTCAGGGGTTGAGTGTCGACCCATGAAGCACGAGGTCACGGTTCCGTTCCCGGTCAGGGCACAGGCCTGGGTTGTGGGCTGGATCCCCAGTGGGGTGCGTGCAGGAGGCAGCCAATCCATGATTCTCTCGCATCATTAATGTCTCTCTCTCTCTCTCCCTCTCCCTTCCTCTCTGAAATCATATATATAGAAGGGACCTCGGAGGGCAGGAGGGCCAGGCCGGGTGCCAGTTGTGCCCAGGAGGCTCTGGTGTTGGTGGTGCACTTAACAGGAAGGCAAAGCCACTGGCATCTCCATCTGCCACGTGCAAGTCATGGGTCCTGGCAGCACTCAGCCATGTCGATGCCCTTCTCCACCCCTCGGGGCCCAGCACAATGGGAGATCGGGACAGGAGCTGCCCTCGGGCCATGGGGAGTGAGGCTGTCCCCACAAAGCTCTGAGCACGTCAAATGCCACAGATGGTAGCGGTCAAGGTCGCCACCTCTCAGGTAGCAGGCCCTGTGCCGGGCACCGCCCACAGGCTACAGGCTGTGCAAAGACAGGGCCGAGTGAGGTCCCCTGTCCCTGACTGTGGATGGACCTGCTTGGAGCAGGTGGGACAGAGGGACAGATGCCCACTCGGGCCAAGGCCGCAGGGAGGAGAGCCGGCGGGGCCGGGACCCCCACCCGCCTGCTCGCCTGCCCCTGTTGTCAGCCCTGGGGCTCCGGCTCCCTCCTTGCTAAGCTGCATCTTGCTTCATTATTATGCAGATATTTTAATTATGCAGATATGTTTTTAGACAGTTTTAAATATGTATATTATTTACTCATTAGACCATAACAGCTCTGGAAATTGGAAATCTGTATTTAGTATCTATCAGTGCACAATACAGAGCCAACGCAGGGCCCGCGGGCAGGAGGGAAGCAGGGTGGTGCAGCAGCACTTTGGAGCAGGGCAGAGACTGCTGGGCACCCTAGTGCCTACCCCCACCCAGGGTCTGGGCCCAGTGACACCAAGGTTGGGGGACAGCAAAGGAACCATCTGGGGGCAGGTGAGGGGTCCTGCGGCCAGGCCCCTCCTGCCAGGCCTGGTGCTGCCCTGGGCGTTCGCTGTCCCACACGCTGGTCCACTCGCGTCTGCTGCCTCCACTTCCTCACCAGGGCCGGGCCATGGCACCTCACCTGGCAAAGGGGGGGCACAGAGGAACCCACCCCTTAGGGGCCTTGCTAGGGGTGGGGTGGGGAGGGCGAGGAAGAGGCACCGTCTCCCGCCATCATGGGGTTAACTGTGCACTCCCTGCGGGCAGCCCCTGGGGATTGGCACAGGGAGCTGCCAGGAACCGACCCGCTCTGAGTGGGTCCAGTCTACACACAGACACTGCGGGCAGGAAGCCACTCGTGAAGTCAGGCAGGATCCGAACCCAGGCCGGTGCTCCAAGGCCCCCGGGTCCAGGCTCTGACGCCCACCCAGGGCTCCTCAGGCCTGCCCGTGGGCGGTCCCAGCCACGTCTCATCCTCGCGCCTGACCAGACACAGGCAGCCACACTGCCCACCCAGCGCCATTCCGATGCCCAGCCCTTCCCCCGCACCACCAGGCCTGTGTGTTTAGCAGTTTCCCCGCGTGCGGCGCCCGGGGATGGACTGATTGATCTGTAACACCGAGAAAATAATAATGGCTTGATCGTTACTGAGGATTAAAAGTAATCCTTTCGCTGTGGCTATTGCAACTGTTATTCACGAGTCAGCGGCTGACCCCAGCCTTTGAGCCTGAGGGACTCCGAGAATCCAGGGAAGCTGGGTGCTGGGACCCCCTCCCTGGGGCTCCCCTCCCTGGGCTAGGGAGCCAGAGGGGCTGCAGCCTCATGTCCTGGCCTGTGAATCCGCGCACAGAGCTAAGCCCTGGGGGGGTCAGGAAGGGCGGGCAGCAGTTGCTCAAGGCGCCCTCCCTCCTTACGCTTCACCCCTCCCTCCAGGCCAGGTGCTGAGCTGTGTAATAGCTGCTCAGTTAACAGTCACATGACAAGTGTTGTTAACATGCATGTCACACGTCACACAGTGTCCTCTGCAGAAGGGCACCGCAGGCTTGTGCATGAGGGGCCTCGCCTGTCCTGGGGGTGCGGTTCGGGAGGAAAGGAGGCCCCGGGATGGAGAGGGAGGGGCAGGAGCTGGGGCCTCAAGGAAGCTCTGTCTCTTTTTTCTCATTGATTCTAGAGAGAGCGGAACGGGGAGGAGAGAGAGAAAGGGAAACATCGCTGTGAGAGAGAAACATCCATCTGTTGCCTCCCATACATGCGCTGACCGGGCATCTAATCTGAGAACTTTCGGTGCACAGAACGACACGCT